TACGCGTTGAGACATCATGAATTTTGGGGTCATCATTATACTCCTCTTTTGTATAAAAATTTTGCACTTATTTTTTTTCTACTGGTACAATTGGCATTTTGCGGTTTGTACATCGTAAAACATACTTATTGAATTAAGCACTTGAATATAATTAATGAATATTTATTTCAACTTTTCATGATGTAATTGCTTGTTTTTCTACAAAATATGAGTATAATGTTTATACAATAGGTAATAACCTAAATCTTTAGAGTCTCGAGATATCAAGTATACGAATAGTATGTAAAAAACTGGACTTATAATTCTTAAAGATGGGTAAATCATTAATGTTGAGTTAAAAGCATTACAATCGCTTCCAAATCAAAAAAAGTTTATTTCCATCATCAAAACTATTAGTTACATTATCAAGCGTATTAATAACTTTATAAACTACTGAATTTTACAACTAATCAATTAGTTAATAAACAATATTTCTATGCACACAAAATGATGATGAAGGTTCAGTAGAAACGGAAATGCTCCATATTTGCTGATGTATGTGCATGTACTTTGAACTGAGACTCGAAACAACACCCATCAGCAGTTAGCGTATACGAAAGAACCCCTAAATTTTTATCAGAACAAACGGACACACGAAAAAAATCCCATCAAAAGACAGCTGGTAATATTACGCAAAACCATTGTACTTTCATAAATTACCCAACTAATTTTAATAAACCAACAGCACCTTTGCCAGCTTATCGCAAATCTAAGGGTCCACTTGACAATATTTTTGTGCACGATTTTCGACGAAACCCAAAAAAACCAACTTGGCTTTGACGATAACCAGCAAAAAATTGGGCACTACATTTGCAAACGCGGAAGCGCCAAAATACACGTACTTTCTATCAATTATATCATCCGAGAGCCGGGCCTGAACCCCATACGGGTATACGAGATAGAGACTAGCTATAGATTGCGCAACTCCCTGGCTCCACATAAATCCGATCGAACCCGCTGCTCCGCGACTTAGACTCGCGAACGAGATCACGTGGGTATAGGATGTATATAATATTATAATATGCACGAAGGCTCTCCTCCATGGACGCTTGATAGGTGCATTTATGCTCCTATAAAAGTCTATAAAAGCCAAACGGGGTATATGTATGTACAGGTTTTGCAAGCCTCCTTGCGGGGTATTGGTAGAAGTAGTGTGCCTCCCGAGTATTATTGCCTTCCATGTGTATACGTGCACTTGGGTCCGTTTATCTAAAAGCAATCTCCACCGCGCCACTGTACCATCATACCACCGCGAGTGGCGAAGATTTCCATTTTGCGCCGTGAGTGTGTGTGGGTATCGTAGGCATGGATCTCGCGCCTGATATGATAGTTTTGGCATGCCTCTCTTTTTCCCGGGTGATTTTCGGCATTGTGGCCCGTGAAATCAAACCAGTTGCTTCATGGGAAACTGCAACGGTGATTGGGAGATATTGTATCCTCGAACAAGTTGTTCGCGTGATTATCATTCAACTTTACTTGGGATTCCTTGAATCGTCTTAAAGTAGTGATGGTTGAAACATTGTTCCATTTTTTTTTTTTTTTTTGTATCAGGTAAAGTTGTTGTAGAAGATTGCTTTGAAAGAGTAAAAATGTTTTTCAAAACCATTTGTCGCTCGTTTTCTCGAATTTTGGAAAAACCCTGTAGAGTCATTGAATTATAGGGCCGAATGATATAATACTTTAAAAGATCTGGCTGTACCGTGAAATGAATAAGAAGACAGAAGAAATTTTTTAACGCTTTTTTTTTTTAAGAAAAATTTAATCATCATGAAACAATTGAAATAACGACTCTATTACGAACGTTGTCAAACCAAACGAAGAAAGAAAAGGTTTTTTCAATTCTTATTGTGTAATGCGTACATTTGTTGACGTTATAATCTCAAACAGCTGATGTCCATTTTGGAAACCCATTTGTTTTATATTTCAAATCAGAGACACTAATCTTAGCCAATTAATTTTTAAGTTCTATCATTTGATGAATTTCAAAACTGAGTTTAGAAGCTGGAAAATATTGATCTTAAAGACAAAGCAGATCAAAATACTGTGAGAATTTGAATTAATAGTGGTTTTGTATACCTTTAGGAAAATTTTGATAAAAACTATTTTATAAGTGATGATTTCTTTATCTTCTCGAATTTAAGGATCTCTTCTTCTAATGATCCATCCCACGTCGGAGATTTAAACAAAATTACATACCATATGGATGTTATTCAATTTTTTTACAGATGATCACAGAATATTCCACCAAGAATCTGCTAGGGCACACTGTACTGTTGCTTTTTACGACGTAATTGTGGCGATAGCATTCCAAACCAGCTTCTCTCAAAATTGTGTAGATCATCCAGTCTTGCTCGTAAAATTTCTACCTGCTCGTTCCATCATTTTTCTCTTCCCTCCCACATCTTCTTCCCTGTATAAATTGTACTTCCGCGTACTTTTCAAAAATTTGTGGCTTAGTGCCCTTTGAGATTTTCTGTACAGTATAGTACAAAAAGTATGCTACAGGTGTTGATAGTTTTCCGGAATTTTGTCGTTTATAGCGCTTCTTTCAGTGTTAAAAAGGCCCTTGGTTCTTGATTCTCATCTAGTAAATTTCGATACCACCTCCCTACATAGCAAATATAAAACAATATATACCTGTTTGGTAATGCAAAATAATATAAACAACCCACTGGAATCGCAACGAAAATCGGCCGCTCGAGCATTGTTCTCACGCTCACATGCGAACCGAATACACTCCCATTCATAAGGTGTCTTATAAATATGTGTACCTATTAAAGGCTATATACGCTGGGATTCATTATGTACACCTGAAATAATACGCCGGCCGGCTTTCTCGAAAAAAAAAAGGAAAAGAAAATTCCCAAACGGGAGAACAATGGGAGAAAAGTGAGATATTAATCTGGGCTCCATTCGCAGTTTCGTTAAATATGAATGCACGTGCCTTTACTTACACGTTTTTTTTTTTTTTTTTTTTTCCAAGCGTCAATAATTAATTGCTCTGCCTCGCTCTCTCACGGATATGTGGAGAACAGAGACGCGGAAGCGCGGATCCCTCGGACTCCAATTTGCCCTGCCTCTTGTATACCTATACTCTCTTTTTCTATCCGTATATAGGTTTGTTCACGTGTAGGCGCGAGACATGTGTGTCAAGGATGTGGCACAGTTTGGTGTTTTTTATCATCTTGGATTTCTCTGCATCACTAGTTTCAGTTTATATGTGTACACTCGGGTTCCATTTTAGCTATTGCGTACGTGTGTGTACGTGTACAGTGGATGAAGCACGCGTTCGATCGGAGCGCACCTGTCATTTCCCCTATAGCGTGATGGTGGGCTAGATAGGTAGTCGTATCGGGGCCAAAGATCTTCAGCAATGACTTTTCCCCCCAAGTCGGGTACTCTGTGGTTTTACATGGATGAGTTTACTGACATTATTTTGTAAGTTTGTGATTGACAGTGTCTTCGTGTACGTATAATTTCGTTTTTGAAATGATATAGGTTCGCGTCGAAACATGGCTGTTATCTTCCATATATTTTCTCTTCCTATTTTTTGACTCGGACCAACAAATTAAAAAATAGATCATCCAAGTAGATTCTGATATTGACTCGATGAAGATTTTATATGTTCTTTTGGGTTTGCATTTTTTGGATCTCTACATTTCCTCAAACTATGCAACCAATAACGTATAGTTTATACGTATTTTTTTCCATTTGCAATAAACATCTTGTATTATAAAAAAAAGTATCAATAAAAAAGCCAAAAGTTTTTGTTAAAATTATTTTGGAATCATTATTTATTAAAACAATTAAAATAATTAAGTGAGGGTAGAAATAGAGGATTATAGTGAGTATGAACAGAAAAATATCGACAGTGTTGATGGTAATGTATCTACATTTGAAATACTAAGTATTAGTAAATTTTTTGCCAAAATTTAGTGGGTATCTTATTTAACATAGTTTTTATGATATTTAAATTCTATGTTGGTATTTTCCTTATTTTTAAATTATGAAAACTATAGATACTACCGATAACAATTCTTACTTTTCGAATAACGCTCATAACAATAATAATCTTAATGTGATAACATTTTCTTTTATTGAAAAAAAAATCCGCGGCGGAAAAAGAGAATAAGTCTACTTTTAACGATTTTGAAAAAATCTCATTTTAATATTTGATCACAACTGTAAGATCAGGGCAAGTGAGTTGAAAATGCTGTAATTCCGTAATAGGTTGACAATCAAAGTAAAGTGCAAGGAATGTTTTAGTACAACAAGTTGCGATGAAAATGTTTTCGTACTAACAGAAAGCAGAGAAATGCTTGAATTTTGATGGACTTATGCTCTTTGTCTGGGAACGAAACTTATGCCCTTATTCTGGGAACTGCTCGTTCTTTTCGTTCAAATTCTAAATTTACCATCAAAATAAAACGTAGGTGAATGCTTTTTATCAAAAATATTTCGTACATTGTCGTTAAAGGCCAATCAATTCCCGAGTTGCTTCCTTTCTCTTGTTTTCTTCTTCTCCCCATCCCTCCTCCTACTCTTTTATTTTTCTTGCTTTTTCTTTCGTTTGTTTACTAAATTTACCATTGGAATCGACTGTAGGTGACTAAATGTGTCAAAAATTTGTTAAAAATAAATCATTGTACCTTGACGGTTCCCTTAAACCGAAGGAAACCCTAATCCTGGTAGACTTATCCCTTTTTTCCGGGAAAAATTTTTTCAGAAATGGACTTATGCCCCTTAACACGCCTTGATATCTCACGATACGTGTCGAATCAGCTTTTGCGACTTTGGTTACATGAAAGAGGGATACTTAGGGATACCTAATCCACCGCTAATTCGATTTTTTCAAAAAATGGACTTAACCCCTTTTTTTGGAAAGCCATAGATATTTTCATGACGATTTCTAAGAGATTTCCAAACTGCCTAATGTTCTAATTAACTTATTCTGTTTTCAGCCGCGCTGAGCGAAAACATCTCAAGCACGGCGGACTTGGACAACGAAACCACGGCCAAGAACAGCAACTATAAGGGCATCGCGGCATCAATAAGTCCAACCGAGTACGTCCAAAAGAAATTCCTAGAGACAAAGTACTCAAAGTCTCCAGACAGCTTGAAGCACAAGTCCGAGTTCTCCAAGCACAAAGATGCCAAGGGCATTGTCAACATCGGCGCTAAAGTCGTGGAAGAGAAGCCGACCACCGAGGCGTTTTCGACGATCGGCAGTGTACCGACGACCCTTATCCAATCCACGAGCACCGAACGACCAGGAAAATCAGGGGACGTTGCACCTGAAACGACAAAGGTGGAGTCGACGACGAGGACGATGGAGATGGCACCGAGGGCTCGAGCGTTGAACGTCACGGCAAACGAACCGAACAACGTGCTAAACTCCGGCAATTTCACCGATCTCAGTGACGTCAGTATGGACGATGAGGACAAGGAGATCGAAGGTACGTGCATTATACTATACGGTGGACGGCTATTGCGACAAAGAGCGAGCTCTACGTGCCCGGAATACCGTACGAGCTGCGAGAAAGTTTCTTTTTTATTTTTTTTTATTGAGAAGTAGACCTTGAGGGCAAAGTGATTGTGACGTATTTCAATCTTAGATACCTTCCGTTGTAGGAGTTCTAATAAACGCAAAAAAATGTGCAGAGTGGGTGATTTTTGCCTTAGCTGCATATGTAATAACTTAATGTACGAGTGATTCGTACACACTTTTGTTTTTCACAATCGATATTAAGCTTTCACAGACTGAGGGTTGAAAAGACTGAATTAGGCAATTGATTCACGTATGTAATAATTGTGATGTCAAGTATGGTAACTTTCATTAGTTATCGGTCGGGGCTATTATTTTCGACCTTACTGGTGGATGTGACAGTGTAAATTAAAATTTTGTTAAATTTCTTTCAATAAAAAGCATTATATTTCTGTATTTAGATGGAAAAGATTTATTTTATTTTAAACGATTCATCGCAAAAATGCTTTTACTACTCACTACATTATAAATTTGAGTGTCGTCGATTAATGACAAAAAACAATTATTTGCGAAGTACGTGAAAACTTCTTGCGTGTGTCATCCACAGATGCCGAATACAACGTGGCTCACAACTCAACCCTGCTGACCAACGCAACGATGCCCGATCCATTGCCCAAGTCCAGTATGGTTTGCATTGATGGCAACAAAACTTATGCCGTGGGCGAAAAAATCAAGCGCGGCTGCGAAGAGCAGTGCTCGTGCGAAGAAGATGGAAAAATCACGAACTGCACGCCCATGTGCCAGACTCCGCTAGTCAGAGCCGGCCGGAAACACGGCGACCCCTTCTGTCACGCTCGCGATTTGCCAGAAAACCCGTGCTGTGCCATCTTGGTTTGCACCGATTCAGGTGAGTGTCTCGTGCTTTTTTATTTTAATTTTATCATCTCGCCTGGGCGTCATGAAAGAAGAAAAATCACCGTAAAATCAAAAAGTGTTTAAGGACTCGTTTAAGGTGGCTTAGGTGATTTTTACTGGAGTGATGAAAATCACTGAAATTTTGAAATTATGTAATTAAAGTGTGCTTGATTAATTTGCTATAAAAAAATACTAGGATCGACTACTTTATTTTTCAGTAAGTCGCTACTAAAAATTCACATATTTCACGCATTCTCATGAGATTTATCACGAAAACGACTATATCTCTGAAATTAAATGACAAACTTTTACAAATAAGAACTGTATTTGTACCTTTTTTCATGAGTAATCTTTTAGAACTGTGAAAGTTATATGTAAACCACTTAGATTTTAAGGAAATTAAGAGAAAAGAGATTTTTCCGCCTTCTAACCTCAAAATAGCACCTTCGACGCTTGATTTTGGGTTCTCAGAGGGAAAAATAGTATACGAAACTCGTATGTATATCGTCTTCTGCGTATGCGCAGTTTAAAATGATGAGTTATTCTTTTTATTGATATTTTTTATAACATTTTAAGCTAACAAAACTCTTGAATTTGAATATATAATTTAAATATTCAATAATCATGACAATGAAGAAAGAATATTTTTCATAATCCATAAAACCTTTAAGGACCCCTCACTTGGTACGGCACCAAATGCCCAAGCCACATTAAAGCATGTAATTGAAATTTCTGTTTCTATAAAATTCATTATAGTAACGTTGATAAATGTTTTATGAGCAACCAAATCGATGCTTCATAAACTATTTCACCTATTATATTCAACTAACCGATTTTATTCTTCAACGATTGATATGAGAAGGCTGTAGAGAGTAAAACATTTCTGCCACAGATTTTACTCACTTGTAAACGTATTTTAATCTGTGACAGTCAAGTTTTTTAATTCCACAGCTTTTCTACAATGGGTTTTCCCCATTAAAAAGTGTCCAGTTTGGTGAAACTGTTTAACCACTTGGTGCACCATAAATTTCGTTGTTCTTAAAATTCTTATCCACACTATCACGATGTCTTTTATAAAAAACAAAAATTTCAGCTACACACTTTTAACGTGTACTTTAACACACTTGGATTTACAGTGAATGTATATATAACGTGGCCAGCCACGTGAGGTAGCGTAGACATTGAAAATTCATTTGTTCGTTGCTTTCTAGCACCAGAACCCGAGGAAACTTGCGTTTTGGGAAACAACACGGTATCTCGGGGCCAGAAGATCGAGGACGGATGCACGAAGACATGCATCTGCGAGGCAGGGGGTCACTTGAAATGCCAGCCAAGATGCCCGCCTAACGACACGGCATCTAGCATAAATCAACACGACCGCTGCGTCATTTTACCAGATCCACGGTAATTTTTTTTTTTTTTTTTACTTTACATTTTTTTCCAAAAATAAACAGAAGGGCTTAAATACAAGACATGTCGATTTCAGAGATTCCTGCTGCACGATAACGCTGTGCGACGTCACCCTGGGGGATCACGAAATAAAGCTCGAGAGCCCGACAGACCTGTCCGTTAACTTGACAGATGTGAAAGTTTTGAACTCGACCGCCATTAAACTAAAACTATCCTCCAAATCGCCCGATGAGATCACGATAGAGATTTCGGAGAACAATCACAGGTGGACGCAAGTGAAACCCACCAAAGGTAACGACATTGACTTGGGATCTAGATCTCAATTTCATCGTCTGAACTAATAATGGTCAAGTGTTTTTTTTTTAGTTCAGATGACTTAGTTAATAGCTCATACGTATTGTTTTGTAGACTAGCTGACATTTAGAGAATTTGTTTTACGCTGAGGGAAAAAACATTTTAGTTGTTGATTTTTGTTTCCGACGCGGGAATCGAGAAAAAGTACCACAAAATATATTTATAAGATCCATGTACCTACACTATGGATCTACATTGTTCTTTGTTGTTTTTCTGAACTCTGAAGATAAAAATCAGAGTGAAGAATCATAGAATGTAACATTAGTATAATATTGACACCCATATGACACCCTAACTGTTTTTAAAACGTTAATAAAAAGTTGTATATATATAATCTCATAAAATAAATTGATAACAACGTTCCAAAATCGCTGAATAAACATTGAAAATGTCCAATGTATTATAACCTTATTACCACTTAGACATTTTTCCAAAGTTTTTAAAAAGTTGTGTGCTATTAGGGCACCCATCACTCAGATGCGTAGTATTCCACGTGGTGATAAAAAATGTTTTCGGTGCTGCATTGCATTACCAAGTATTGTCAATTTTATAAAAACAAAACCTTGAGAGCTTTTCTTTAATAATCACGTAATACAATAAGTTAATTTCTTGCTTTCAAATTTTTTAGTTACTTGTTAAACTTCACAGTTACCCAAAAACTATTGTAGAAATATATAAGATACTATGTACGTAAATAAAATTGGAGGAAACAAATGAAACTTGTTCATACCACGTGATGTTTTCAAAAAAAAACATAATGTGAATTTATCTTGTGATAAAATGTAATAACATGTCACCAGCTAGTTAAATGTGTATTTCACGTTGTTTTGTTTTATGGTTGTTGTCTAACTATTCCTTATCTGAAATAGATATTCTCAAATGTATTTTATATCCCCTGGTTAGTCTTTACTAACACATATATCTTTATGTTAACCCCGTAGCAGCTGATGGAACAAAAATAAATCTTGTTTGTACTAAATACTCAGATTTAATGAACGTTTCAAAACAAGTCTCAAAAACAATCATGTAGAACCTTCTTCGTAAGATATATACACTTATAAATCCTACATTATCATATCTTCCAGAGGGTATCATATCAAATCTGCAACCAGCGCACAGCTACTACGTGCGCGTGATCGACGGTACCCGAGCCGGGCCAGCCATACACGTGTCCCTATTGGCCGAAGTAACCAAAACAAGTGTAACCGAGAAGAGCGAAAAAGGCACCTGTAGTCATCGTGGCAAAATCTACAAGATCGGCGCTGAGTGGTACGATGAATGCATAGCTTTTTGCGTGTGCAACGAGACCGCACATACCGAATGCGTGACGATCGAATGCCCCACCGATTTTGGCCTCGACGTTCTCGACCCTCACTGTCTAGACTGGGAGACCGTGCCTCCCAACCACGTGCCCAAGGCACCAAATTGCTGTCCGCAGGTATATGATTCAATTTGATCAAAGATTTGCAAAATAAAAAGTACTCGTTTTTTGACAACTTGTCCATTGAAATCGTTAGGAGGTTCGATGCAGGAACAACGGTTCTTGCACTTACGAAGGTAAGACCTACGACAACTGGTCTCGACTTCCAACAAACGTCACTGGCTGCGAGAAAGAGTGCTACTGTGAATTCGGCAACGTCACGTGTCACTCGAGATGTCCGAAGGTTTCACCGCATCCACCAAGTAATCTGAACTGCAAGCCCAGCGAGGCTGTGCTCACTCAGTTACCTGGTGAGGACTGCTGCCTTCAATGGGCTTGTCCTCAGGTTGCGTCCAATAATGTGCCAGGTAAGTGTTTTTTTTCTTTTTTTTCATCACGATTAACCGCATCTTGCATCATATTTTAAAAAGGGAGACTTGAGTGCTATCACCGTAGAAACATGGAAATTGTTTTGATAATCGCAAAACAGGTCGAAAACAATAGATGTTTGTATTTGCATTCGATAAATTAATCGGTGGTGGAGATGAATACAGGATCTACGCAATATACGGAATCGATGCATTGATTGATCCCTGCTAGAAAATGTAAATAAGTAGATTATATTAATTTTCGAGGTAGCTGATCATCAATAGTAGAAAGATGTATGCATACGAACACCCAACAATCGATATTCAAAAATAAATCCAAACTCTGCTTGTTATTCCCATCTTTACTAACAAAATAAAAATTCGTACTGTTACCCTTGGTATGTTATCGATTTTCTAATCTGCCCAAATATCCGATTTGGCTCAATAGCTTTAATTGAGACGTATTAGAGAGTGCTGGTTTTGGATGTACATATCTATATCCTTTGGAATGTTGCTTTTTATTACTTAACCATGTGGAATGCGGACCTGACTGAATTGTTCCTAGTTTTCGAAAAAGTCTGGAATACGTATCAATTATTTCCTGTGACGTATATTTGACTGGACGTTTCTTTGACTGTTACGCAATTATCCAATGTAAATATATATTAAAGTAAAACATTTGTAAATATTCATGAATAGTGCATGCTTAATCAATGATTTAATTTATAAAGCTTGTTATTGTTTTTATTAAAGAATATCGGCTTTTAAAATAACTCCATTGCATGATATGGCAAAATTTACGTTATGCGGCATTGTAAATTGCAGTATCTTAAAGAAAACTGTAAACATTCTTGGGCCATTATAATGTATCTTAAACCAATTTAAATACCAATTATATTTATTTAATATTTTTTTATGATCTGCTTGATAGGCTTGACATAAATTTTTTTCTATCAAATATACTAGTATGTTCTTTAAACTAATTAGAAAAATTAAAACCGTTGGATTTAAATTTAATTGTCTCTTCATTAATTTAAATTTAAGCGTATAGTGTGCAAACTTGGTTACGAAAAGTAACATCAGTTGTCTAATTTCTTATAATTCATTAAAGGGACAATCAAAATTCACGTAAATAAGCATGCATGAATTTTGGACTTGATCGTAAAAACATTTAAAATACTAGACTTATTTACAAGACATGAGAAAAAAAAAAAAAAAAAAAAGACAAAAATATTTATTTACAGGAAAGAACAACACGGTCTACGTATATCCCGGCCCTGTAGCCATAGACACAAGTTCTAAGAAACCAAAAGATAAATCAGAGTCTACAAAACCGAGCCAGGATTCATCATCAGGCTCGTCATACCCTTGGCCCATTTCACCCTCGGGCACTCATCCACCACAACCTGCTATGCCTCCAAACTCTGACGTAGTTCACTACCCGATGGACCCTGGACACCCAACTGCCCCTTACATCGGTCCCTACAATCCTGACTACAAGCCAACCCAGCCAAGTGTAGAAGAAGTCTTCCACTTGTCACCCAGCCATGTCGAAAAGACACCTTCAATCAAAGAAAAAACTAAATCAAAATCTGATTCTAAGAAACCCGTGGATGCCTTTAAACCCTCGAAAGAAGTCGTTGATCAGTTCCCGGGACCACTGGCACCTGATCGTTTTGCTGAAAAGGTTCATCCGTCCGAAAAACCAACTCTACCACCTCCTTTGGTTCGGCCAAACAATCCAAACCTCGCTAATCCCCAAAGTCCTAATAAATTGCCTGGACTGAATAAAGGCAGCAGCCCAACATCCAATCACGCAGTAGAGCAACCGCAGTTCATTCCATTGAATATTCACGATCACGACTTTACTCCAAGTAATGGGGAGAATATTCCACCCACACACTTTGACACGCTACTAGAGAATCCGGCAGCTGGCCCACCCTATGGTGGTCACATTGGAACTGGATTGCGTCCAGATTCTGCAGATCCAAATAACATTGTGCCTTCTACGGCATCCAAGAAAAAAATACCTGGTTCTGATATCTACACTAACGATAAAGGCAAAGGGTTACCACCCAAACGGCCTGACGTCCCACCAAGGCAGGAAGTCATACCAGACGAACTCTATCACCTGATAAACCTTCAACATCCAGGCTTGATCAACCTCGATCGTGGTCAACCCGGAAATCACCCTGGTCTCTATGACATCCATCAGGAGATCGGTAGTGGTACCGAGAAACCCCACGCCCCACCGCCTTACTTTGGACAAGTGGTCATACCTCCAAAAAAAGGAGGCAAACCGCAGATATACACACAGAAAGACGAAAATGGACAGACAACGTATCACGTCCACTCCTCGGAGATTCCAAACTCACCTCAGCAACTCGAGGAGCTGCTCACCCACATAGCCCAGCACGATCCCCATAATAATCCCTACCAGCAATACCCGGTCAATCAGCAACAGCCAGGTGTGCCACTGCAGAGGCCGCCACCACCAGCTCTATCGCCCCATGGCGTCGATCTTGAAACTTCTCAAGTGTCGCAAAACGCGGCTGGGGTACCAGCCCATATTGGACCCCATGGATTCGTTGCACAAGCACCGTTGCCACCGGGTGCTGATCAGTCAGGTTCGTTCATACCGTGCGCAGATTTTGGGTTTATGGGTTTCATATCAGAGTATCAACCTGTTGTTTTCATTTAGTCAAAGCTTTGAGTAGTACCTAAATCTGTAGTATTAGAAAAGAAGAAATATTAATTCTAGTCGTATTCATACATTTTTATCTTTCAAAGACGTCCTACAGGTGTTTACCGCAATGCCACAGCGATTGTTTGTAGAATCACTTATAATAAATAGAACATTATCACCTTTGACATTTGTGATTTAGACTTAGTCGAGTATAGGGTAAACATCAGACTCTATCGTAGATACGTATTTTATTATTCGGACTTAATCATAACTGTAATCACTAATAATTATACAAAAAATCCAATTTGTAGAATACGTTAACCCCTTACGAAGCCATCCTGCAGAAAATGCTGCAGGAACCCCCGCAGATGAACCTGTGGTAATTCCTGCAGGGTTATTGAGCCCATTTTCTGCAGGAACTCCTGCAGACTGTGCTGTCTCAAATTTTCAAGAAGAAAAGTTGTGTCCATGTCTAATTTATTGGAAGTATATCAGCCATGTTTTGGTGTTATCATCCAGATGATAACACCGAAACTGGTGAATTAAATTGTTTTTGAACAATTCTTTAAAAATAAAATTTTTTTTTTTAATTTACAGTTTTTCAAAAATTGTTCAAAAACACTTTAGATCCTCAGTTTTGGTGTTATTATCCGGATAATAACGCCACGTATAGCTAATACACCTTCAATAATTTAGATCTAGATACAATTTTTTTTCTTGAAAATTTGAGACAGCTCCTGCAGCTTTATTTGCAGGAACTCCTACAGGAAATGGGCGCAAAATCTCTGTAGGTTTGCCTGCAGCATTTTCTGAAAGATTTTTTGCAGGATGGTTTCGTAAGGGTTTATGGAATATTGTGTAGAACTCTGTAGAAGTATTCGAGATCTTTTTTTTTCAGTCACTGTTTCGTAAGAAATCAGAATACCACAATATAGGAAACTCGAAGCAATGTGACCATTGAAAAATTTTTGCTGCAGGTTTCGAGCACGGCTTGACCATTGGCCAGTTCCCGGGAATCTTGGGACACGGTGGCCAAAATCTGCCAGCACAGCAGGCGTATGAAATAGCAGTGGACGATTTGCGCGCGGTCAGCGCAAACACCGTGCGCTTGATGTTTAACGTGCCATCAGTACTCGTTGGACTCCACGGCCGAGTCGAAGTTCGTTACACCAGCGATAAATCGTGAGTTTGCCTTTCTGTTTCCAAGTGGAATTTGAACAGCTCTCTAATTTGTATTGTACTACGTTGTTTCAAATTTTGCACGTATTTTTTTGTTGATCAATGTTTAATAGCATATAACAATCGCAATGAAGATCTAGTGGATATAATCCATAGAAAAATTTATGGGAGTTTTACATGGGAACCATCATTTTTTTATGTGAATAAATAGTACTTACTTAGATACTTTCTAAATTCAAACTTTTCGTATAAAATCCTTACAGAATCTTTGTATATAACAAATATTATTTCCATGTCTACTAAGATATTTCCGTAAGCAATAAAAATTCTACTTAGTAGATTCTATGGGGATTCTGCAAGATACTCTACTACACTATTTCTTAATAAATTGAGGTGTATCGGAACACTTTTGACGGTGTGAAATTTTTATCCTCGGTTTTTCAAAAACTACATCACAATAGTACGTAAAAGTTTTTTCAACCGTTAGCGCACATTTTTTCCATCTATTAAAAAAAAATTATTTATTTGTTCCTTTATAAGTGTTTAAAAATCAAATTTTTAAACTTATGTCTAATTCAGCTGTAACGGGACACACTTAATTTGTACTAAGGTAATTCGGGACATCGATTAAGCTAATTCTGGACAAACGCCCAATTTCCAATTCAAATACATGTAATCCATTCCATATTGCTATTTCAGTGATTATTCCTAGATAAATTAACTATTTATAGATAAAACAATAAGAACTGGAGCTTATTTTAGCCTACAAACTGATAAAAGTTGTTTGAAATGGAGAGAGTGTATCCTCACTTACGTTATGTATTGTCACGTTCTGAATCAAAATTGTAGTGATAGGTAGTCGAAAAATGTGAGATTCAATTTTTTAAATAGTTTTTATGTTACAAATCCATATTTTCTCTGCTACCGCATAGATGGCAATCGTGCATGAAAAATTTGAGGTTATGATTTAAATTCTCCGTAGTATAAATAACTCGGATTGACAATCCTACCAAACTTTAATGTTTGTGATATCTCTAACTCCATTAACATTAGAAAGTACGAGAAAATGTACATATTTGTGGAATTATTCGAAAAAAAGTACGAACTAAAAAGTAGTCACTAAAGCTGAAGTAATTTAATTTTTATGGTGAAGTGGGACACATATTATTTGATCACCACATAAGAATAATTAATTTTTGTTAATTTATTGCTTCAATTCATACATTTTTTGCTGTTTTTCTTATAAAAGGTCTAGTAGAATAAAGAGAAATTTTTTGTTTGAAATAATAACACTGTTTCCGATGCTGTCCCGAGTTACCTTAAACACTTTTCGTATCCCGAATTATCTGAATTTACCTAGATTTATCTTTTGAAGCGTTCAAGGTGAATTCCTTGCAGACTGTGTCTAAAATAAAAATTTTTTTAATATTAATGGTAGTATATATAACCATAAAATTTCGATTGGGCCACACTCCTGTAATCTATTCCTATAACCAACTAAATCTATATTCAAAGGGTATTTAGATACATCGATGATAATATTTCTGCAAAATTACAATGCTATATCCTCTGATTTTAATGAAATTTTGAAATTTTGTACTTAAAAATAAACTTTTACTACACAGAATCTTAACGCACTCCCCGAAGAGTCTATTTAGGTGTTTTTTTTTTATTGCGTAAGGCAACAATAAAATCTTATTCCATATTAAAATTATCCTAATTCTCTGAAAATTCTATAAGAACCTTACACAGAAGATTTTAACTGAAAAATTATTTAAATTTACATTATTCATATTCCTATGAAATCCGATAACACGAGTTTAAGGTGACTTGGGCGATTTTTATCGGCTTGATCAAAACCTCGGAAATTCTGAAATTATGTAAATAAAGTATACTAAATTGATTAACAATAAGAAAATACTGGGGTCAACGACTTAATTTTTTAGCAAATTGCTACTGAAAATTCACCAATTTAATACCTACTCTTATGGATTATATCGAAAATCTTTGATTAACCTACAAATAATATGTTAAATTGTTAAAAATATAGGATCAACGACTTAACTTAAGAGAAAATCAGAAGAAAAGTATGAAATATTACTCTGGCTTGCCTCGCAACATCTTCTAATTTTCACAATTATAATTTCTGGCAAATTTTTGATCTTGTACTTTGGTTTTATCAAAATAACTATGTTTATTGAAAAATTTAACGCCAAAAATCGTTGATTTTTTAGGGGCCCTTATGGCACCCTACCCTAGGTACGGCACCAATCACCCAAACCACCTTAATATCACTAACATCAAAATTTATGTACGAATGAAAACTCGATTTTGCAGAAACATAGACCCATCGACTTGGAAATCCCAAACGTTCGCCCCTCCCGGCGACCTGATCGATAGCGAGGACTTGGAATTCGACCTGAGTGGCCTCAAGCCCTCAACCGTCTACAAATTGATGATCGTTGTAAAATTGCGCGACCTTTCGAACACGCACACTAGCAAGATATACCAAGTGCGCACCCTCGACAAGCCGGCACCGAATGCGCTGCCCAGCGACATAAGGATCGACGCCGAGTTGCGGGTTCTCGAGGTCAACTCGAGCTTCGCCGAGTTCGAATGGAAGAAGTTCACGAACTACGAGCTGCAATTCATCGACGGCATTTATTTGATGTACAAGGCTGAGAACGAAAAAACGTACTCAGTGACACCGCTGCTGCACCGCAGCGTCAATCACTACGTGTTGGATCATTTGCAACCCTCGACTACCTACGAGGTCCATCTCAGCACTAAAGACATCATTGGACAAGCCAATGTTCTTGTTGACAGCAAAACGGTAAGTGGGCCTTTATGTTTCCATGCTAATCAGCACAGGCATATATTACTTGCCACGAATAACTTTATTTTACAATGACATATTACAACACGCTGCTTGAATTATCCTTACGTGCCGTTTAAAAATAACTTTCGCCTTTTACAGTATTATAAAAGAGACATTTTGGAGAATAATTTGCAGCATTAAGAAAAAGTTTATTGTCTTACGACCCAACCTTTTTTTATTCGACATTTTATTCTGAAATTTTGATTTAAATACATCATTGTAGAGAAAATCATATAAAATAAAAAAAAAAACATATTTTTTGAGACCTGCAAATTTTTCATCAACACTTTGTTGCGGAATGAAAGGAAGAATATAAATTTTTTTGCAGTTGGAAAAATGTTGTTTTCTTGCCATTTTCAAACTCTACATTAAATATGATCATATATAACTATCATAGTTTTCTTCGTTGTTCACTAACGATTATTTATGACTATTAATAAAAGTAAAAAATGACGTGGTTACCCCAATCTTTGTCAACGATTCTTCGTGATGTACCCTCATTCCTTAACAAAACATTGTTTTCAAATTAAGTTTTTCATTACTAATAACTTTTTTTTTATGTCACTATTAGGTAAACTTTACAACAGTGTCAGAAAGCGATCCTTACTTGTTCGACGTTAAAGTCGAAATCAAAACGATCAAAGCAACTGACGTTGAAGTTTCGTGGAGCGGAGTACCTCACCCCCAAGACAAGTATGTCAATATATACCGAGCAGTTTATCAGAGTGACAGTGGCAAGGAGGACACAAGTACCTTCAAAATTGCCAAAAAAGACTCGCCTGCCAAGACAATCATAAGCGATCTCAAGCCGGGCACGCGATACCGGCTTTGGATCGAAGTTTACCTGACTAACGGAAAGGTCAAAAAGAGCAATGTCCAGGACTTCGTTACCAAACCTGGTATTTTACTACCCCCTGGTGCTTCACAACAGCAAGGTATGCACATTATTACAAGTCAATTTTTAAAGAATCAATTATTTATTTTTTTTAAAGAAAAGCGAATTTTGAATGGAATCAACTCTTTGGTTAAGGAGATTCCCAGCGAGTAGGGATACCAACTTGCATCTAGGAGCCCTAATTTGCTCAATAGACTAATAGTTGGCACCACTGCCGCAAGAAAAACATATAGACTAACCTACGGAAATACGACAATTCGATCGATTATAAATCGAATATCTTAAAATTTTTCCCGGTTATCTATTACGACGGCATTCCGAAAATAAAGTTATAACCTACAACACGTGTGTACTGATAACACCTGACACTTTCGAGTCGAGTTGCAAATCATTAGTCTTTAGTGTACCTGCCATAAGCGCTAGAGTCAAAAGAGAGCGAGCTTTAAGCACGAATTTCTCAAGATTTTGTCCGGTTACGGGTATAATAAAAAAAGGTACCCTTAGATTCAGCGTCATCTAAACTATTTAATGACATATGTCTAATATGGCGACACTAGGGGGCTGGAACCTCCTTAATTATATTATAACAAATACTAAAGTTATTGCTATTATTACTATCATTATTGTTTGTCCTGTTATAACTATTATTTTTGTTATTTCCTTTCTATTTCTGAACACTATTTTCTTCATTCAATTAAAATTGTCCTTTTTACAAACAATCCAAAGACCGTAATGGTATACACTTTTCTTTGGATACGCATGACGCACCCTAGAAAAAATTAATTTGACAAAAGATCATAAACTTTTAATAAGAATTGTAGAAGTCCAGATTTAAGACAAGTAGTAAAATAGTCAATGGAAAGAAGTTTTATTGTCAATTATCACTATCTGATACTTAACCTGTGGTAGATAATTGTGAATAATAATTTTTATTAGTTGTTTCAAATCTAGAATTTATAAACTGTTATTGTTTGTTTTCATTTTTAACTTATTGTTTAAAATAGTTATTACCAACTAATCGAATGAAATTATTTCCTCTTGGGCAATTATAATGACAATTCCCTTACCATGATTATGTAAAAGCCCATTAGTCTAACGTCTCAAGTGAAACACCCATCGTTTTTCCAAATGAAATATATTGATAGTACTTCATTTCCATGAGATTATGATGTATACCCATTGCGTTAATTGTTTGCAGGTAAACTTGCATCGATACAACTTCACGAAGGTGACTATTACGGGCCACTGGTCATAGTTGCAATAGTAGCGTCACTAGCCATATTATCGTCACTGATCCTACTGATGATGCTCATGAAAAGGAGGACGAGCAGCAAGGCTGACATATCCCCCCGCAAAACCACGTCGGCCTACGACAATCCTTCCTACAAGGTAGAATTACAACAAGAGACTATGGGTAATTCACTGCTTTTGTTTCTCTTCAATTTTCCTCTCAAATCATTTTCCACCAAAACATTCAACTTTTTCTTAAAGACCTCATTATCGTTTACATTTTTTTACAACTTGGATGATCTTTAGCTAAAATAACACATCCCTTTTTACTGTTTTCCGCATCACTCGCAGACCTGTGAAGAAACAGTTCCTAATGGTCGAGGCAAAACTTCCGAGCACGAGATGACCATCATGAACGGCAGCAACAGCCGCGCCAAGGAAACAGCGTGAATAGGTCGTGATTAAATCATGTAGACTTATTAAAGTTTTATTTATGCTAGAATAAGAAAAGCTAAATGGCACAATAGCTACAAAATGCCGCCCAGTGTCTAACCCGTCCACATCGTAAGTTTTAAGTTCTCCATTTGGTTCATTTTACAGTGAATTGGAGGAGGTCTACATTAGATTAGTTGTTAATTAAAAGTCGGTCGAGTTCATTTTTTGTTAAGGAGCATCAAAATTGTTACTGCCGCGAGTATATTTCATCTATGCGCATCACAAAACTATCGAATACTCAAGTCATAAAAATAAAAAAATTAGTATTTTTAAATACGTTGTTAGTACTTACTTTTATTATTGTGTTGTAATTCTTCGATTTTAAACGTTGAGCTAAATCCTGTTGTCATAATAAATTGTTATAATAAATAGTGTATTTTCTCAAAGCGTACTCCTCCAACAAAAGCAGGAAATAACAGTTTAACGATTCAATGTTTAATAATTAATCAAGTATTTCATTCCATTTCTATCTATTCTTATACTGTAATACGAGGTTTCTACACCTTTCAATCTTATTATTTATGACACAGTAAACTTTTTTAAATTACTTGATTGAAGTTTCATAAAATTTATTTAGAATCATATTAAATAAGTTTTGTTTATTTTAACAGTTTATCGTATGAAATTATATACATATACAACGACTAAAACTACAATAAAACTATCGAGCATAACATATTGTAATTATCAGAACGTAGCACGTACATGTACCTCTTGCTTAAGATGCGCTTGAAATCTGGATAACGTAAAACCAGGAATCATTTTTTGTACAGACATGCAATGTATCATCAAAATGCTATAATAAACTTAATGACGAAATCAATACAAATGATGAAATATTTATTTTCTTTTTCAAAACAAACGAATTTCTTTGTTCTCGATTTTTTATTTGCGATAACTATTAATAAAAATTCTTACACAAAAGCTAATGAATTATCGATGGAAAAAATGTCATGTGTTCAATGATTTTATGCTTTTATTGTGCAAATATCAACAATGGATTACAATAATAGATAAACAATACCATATCAACATCTTAAAAAACGTATTTCCCGTTATACAGTCTTCGAAAGTCTTCGCTTACGTACTCCAAATGAAAACTTAATTCCAAGTAGAGGATATATATACAATTATTCCTTATTCAAGTACTCAACGATGGTCTTTTCGAAGGACTCCGGCTCTGTGGTGGGCGCGAATCTGTCCACGACTTTGCCGCTCTTGTCAACCAGGAACTTGGAAAAGTTCCACTTGATGCTGTTGCCAAAGATGCCCTTGCCGGCTTCCTGGCTTTTGAGCCACTTGTACAAAGGATGGGCCTCGTCGCCGTTCACGTGGATCTTCTCCATCATGTCGAACGTGACGCCGTACTGTTTGACGAACTCCAGGATCTCGTCGGCAGTGCCTGGCTCCTGGTTGAAGTCGTTGGATGGGAACGCCAGGATTTGCAGGCCCTTGCCCTGGTATTCGTTGTACAGCTTCTGGAGCTGCTTGTAGTTGCTGTCGGTCAGACCGCACTTGCTGGCCACGTTCACCACGAGGACTACGTTGCCGCGGTACTTGTCGAGCGACACGTCATTGCCGTGGATGTCATTGGCGTGAAACTCGTGGAGGGACTTGGCTTTTTCCCAATCCTTGTTTTGATCAAACGTTTCGGGTTTATTCATCGCTGCGTCCTCGGCAAATACACTTGCGATGCACACCAGTAAGAGGGTTATTGCAAGACCTGGAAAAATATTTTTATTTGTTATTGGCTGTGGAGCATTGTCTGGTGCACGAGACGATTGTTAAACTTGGCGAGCTTCAAGAAAGTAGGTAGCTTCAAAGTTAATGTTCATGATAGACTATTGCAATTATCTATCGTAAAAAGTGATGGAAAAGTGACTTAAATTCAAGAAAATTGAATAAAACTTGTTTGATTTCTTGAAGGAAAATTTTTTAGTAATGATCGTCAAAAAAACTCGTGTAATTTAACAAAATATTTAATGTATGCTTACACAAAATTCGACACATAGACTTAAATAATTATTTTTATTAACTTCTGGTAAAATTTTATCAAATAAAGACTAAATTTAATATGTACTTTGATGATTTTTAATACGATTGTTAACAAAAATCAATACAAATGTGGATTGTTATAAAATTTATAAATGTACATAAAATTCCAAATATTTATTATAAAATGTCATGAAAATACGTTTTACATTTTATGAAAAGATATGAAATTGAGTCGTGAACCAGAATTTTACGAGTAATTAATTTTTATGTTATTCATGGTATTTCGTTGAATTTTTTAAGCATTTCACAAAATATTTAATGTACAGGTCCATCTGTCTATTTTTGATGCTTAAAAATTTAATTTAATTTTTTTCTTATTACGAAAAGATATGAAATTGATTTGAGAACCAGAATATGTCGAGAAACTAATTTTTATGTTATTAGTGGTATTTCGTTGAATTTTTCAAGCGTTTTACTTTTTATAATTTTTTTGCCTTGAGTATACTATTTTATGAAATTTTTATCAATGCACATAAAATTTTGTTTCAATACTCGAAATTAATACACGAAATTTAATAATTTTTACATTCAACTCTTTTTATGGGGAAAAACATTAAATAATTTCAATAATTTTACATTGAAATCCCATGAACCAACGCAAATTCGTGTACAACTTTTTAAAAAACCAAAAACAAATAGATCGAAACTTTGTCTTGGAAATTTATACTCATATCACGTTCTAGTAATTTATCAGAAATAATTTTATCAACCATGTATAATAATAACCAGCTTTAAAAGTTATGAAAATAATTGAAAATGAGTTTAGATAATGTTAGACTAGGTTTTATCCATTCGCATGATATCTATGTTAAGAACATGAAACTGATGTTTTAGTAAAATTTAATATTAAACCAGGAATATGCCACTGTCATCAAAGTCAAAAACTTCAATCGGCTATTGAACCATAAAACTATTGTGGATCATATAATAAATGAGTTCCACAATGTGCTAATTACGTAGACGTCATGTACAATACACATACATTCGAGCACATATACTAGTAAATACTAATCAGATATTTCCGCTATGACAGTACAATTTTTTTTAGCTGTACTATAACCGAAAAATGATAGATCTCAAAATAATATGTTACTCAACAAATAGGCAGAGCAGGAAGTTCTTGCACGAGTATGAGTGTTGTCGCACAAATTAATAAAATCGAGAAAAATCACACAAATATAACTATCTCCACACATCCATTTAAAATAGAAATACATAAAAAAAATTATCACTTTTTTACATTGATCTGGATAGAAATAATCTTAATCCATTTTAACACACCAAAATTGATTAATTTCCATGATTTTTAATTTCATTGAATCCTTCATTAAGATTTAATGTGTTTTGTTAATTTAAATTTGATTTCATTCCATTTCTATCTATTCTTATACTGTAATACGAGGTTTCTACACCTTTCAATCTTACAACTGAATCCCTAATTAAGATATTATGCAATTCGATAATTTAAATTGTATTTCCATTTATTTTCATTAATTCCAAACATCGCCGAAATTAAATAAATTTCATACATATACATCTAGTAATATCAAAATTATAACAGACGAGCGTTATGGATAAGTACTTCGTTCATCATGTACATTTTCAATTATATATTATATTTGTGTTAATGAATCATTGCGTAGTACACAAAATTAATTTATAACGTACTACGTATTTGATACTGCATTATGATTAAAGTGGTATAACATAAAAATCTAAGTTTGTTGTCCATTTTTTTATTTCTAATGTAGTTATTATTAAGGTATTATAAATTAGAGTAAAAAAATTCTCATTTACCATTGGAAAAGAAAAATACAAAATATCCTCAAATTTCATACCTGTATCAAAGAAACACTGTGATTAAAAAGTGGTATTAAAAAAACTTCTATTCAGAAATAAGATGCAAAGAGAAATAAAATACAAAAATTAGTTATAAGGCTTTCATTAAGTCACAAAGTAAAAATTTTTTTAATACAGGAACTTGTATCTTGTCAACAATGTAAATAGGCTATTTTCTCGGAAAACAACTTTCTTTCAGTACGTTCGTAAATAAATTGCTTCAAAGCGTTGAAAATTAATTTTTAAATATTTTTTACCATGAAAAACAGCATTTTTTACCTTAATAACAGGATTTTGTTTAATTAAGAACGACATCTCGTACTATTCTAGGCGATTCATGACGATTGATAAGTTTTGACTTTGACTAGAGTCCATACACAGTTAAATCACAAGAATATTATGACTTAATTTTGAGTAAAAATTTGACGACCTTTTTCTAATACTAGCATGTAAACTGTAGGTTAAGTTTTCGTAAAAGTCATGTGTTTATCTTACCAGATTAAAAACAATTATATTTTAAGAAAACAAAAAATTTGATAAATAATTAAAGAATCAATAAAAGTAATTTTTAGGTCAACATTTTTGTAAATTCATTATTTTAACTTTTATACCATTTAAAAGCACTCTCGATGTTGGAACGTACATTTTTTTTACTTAAGGAACCATGAAAATTCTTTATGTAATTTTGATTTGTATAAAATGAAAGAAATTGATTATAAAATTTTGTTTTATCAACGATAAAATAAATACTTTTTAATTTAAGTTGAATATCCAAAACTTGCGATTACTTCTTTTAAAAATAATCATCATGATTATTCAAACAGAAATGGAAAAGAACTCAAAAGTTTCTAGGTTACTTGGACCAAAAATAATTTAAAATCAATCATGAAAAAAGTTTGACATTGCCTTTTGGAAACCCACATAAACACATAAATGCATTTTTGTAAAATGATGCATGTATACATATACGTGTGCCGGCGTATAAACACTCGAGGCACTTCATATCTGCTGGAAAGTGTCTAAATTTCACGTATTAAGCAACAGCCATTTTGTATGTGACATTTTAAATTGTATACAACGTTATTAAACGTATATTGACCAATCGTTCCGGTAGACATAAAGATGAGTCTGGGGTGTACACCTAATACGCAGATCACACGATACACACTTTTGTCTACTCAATTTTACCGTAAAGTACTATATTGTTTTGTATCGAATTTATTGAATATCACTCCTTTATTATGAAAAGTTTTTTTTTTTACAAATAAAAGTCTTAAGTTTTGTGTTGTAATTCTTCGATTTTAAACGTTGAGCTAAATCCTGTTGTCATAATAAATTGTTATAATAAATAGTGTATTTTCTCAAAGCGTACTCCTCCAACAAAAGCAGGAAATAACAGTTTAACGATTCAATGTTTAATAATTAATCAAGTTACATACAATATCAATCATAACCTTCAATTAATATGTAAGAAAAAAAAAAAAACTGTTACTTACGTATTAATAACCTGTACAAATATAATCAAGTGCTCATAATTTATCGAATGAAAGTTTAATTTCGTAGTGTACGCTGTATCAATCCTAAACAAAATCGTTCAATCCAATCATCAGTGATTCGTGAACGATCATACCAAAACACTTTGTAATGAAGCTACTAAAAAACTTTTAAAATATTGGCATATATTTTTAAGACTATTGTGTACAAGCCGAACAATAAAGCACCGCGAGAGAGAGAGAGAGAGAGAGAGAGAGAGAGAGAGAGAGAGAGAGAGAGCAATAAGCTGAAAGATAAGAGTAAAAGCAAATATAACTTACGTGTCATCCTGACTTGTTGATACGAGCACTGCACGACACGTTCAATCGACAACTGGACTCTCGAGTTCTCGACTCTTCGCGTTTGCCAGAAAGTACACGACTCAGTCTCTTTCCACAGCTGCGAGTTGATATATATACCAACTCGTGTTGCCTGGTGCTACAGATTACGTACATGGTACGGGGGAAGCGACGCACGCCACTCGTCAAGATCATGGCCGAGATATATTATAGTTGCGGCGTGGAATTATAATGATTCAGAGGAAGAGCGGGAGATATCATACGTTGAGGATTGTTGTTACACTAGGACCGTGGAATAATACAAATCAGTGATCATAGCGAAAAAAAAAGGAAAAGTTGATAAAAACTGAGGATAAAGATGATAAAATACTGGATGTATATAGAATATCACTGACTGATTGACGAAAAATTAATTCTAAATCCAATTGAAGGGTATAAGAAGCATAGTTGAGATAGTTTCGTCGTTTTTACCCTAAATGCCGACTGGCATTTAAAATTGAAGCTTTGGCGCAAACCAGTAACGCCATCTCCTCGTCGAAACGTGTGTCATAGCAAAGCCAATAGAAAATAACGTTTTTTATTTGTAAATTTGAAATAAAATATAAATTTTAGAGCTAAAAATATGGTTGTTATTTTTAAATCAGGTATTCAACAAGTAGAAACCAACGTTTCTCGCGAAAAAAGCCTCTCAAAAGATCGTAAACTTGCTGAAAGTTTTCATATGTTAGTAACACTTTAGAGGAAATTTGAGACGATCAGACTCGTCGAAAAGGACGGATTTTAAAAGAAACCCCTGGAGCTGCAAGCGAAAAGTCGAATACTAATTATAATAATGTTTAAATAGAGGTATACAAAACTAGGTTATATAAATGTTTTGTTTACATACATTTTTTTTGTCAAAAAAAAAAAAAATTATCTGTAAAACTTTTCTCATAAACTTATAAAGTATATTTTAATCGTTATTTCAATAAGCATTTAATTTTATATTATCATACTTTGCTAGCTACATGAAGACCGGACTAAAAAAAATTCTTTATGCAATTGTAAAGCAGGATTTAGTCTGTAAAAACATTTAGCAGCAATATGCATTAGGGTAAATTTAGAAAGTAGTCATTCAAAAACTAGAGAGCCAGTGATTTGGAATAGGCCATCAGATCAACAATTACGGAAATATTAGAAAGGCTGTAAATTAAAAAACCAGTTTACAAAGAGAAATTCTTGTTTTTAAATTTGTACAACCAACAACACACAACAGTAACGATCTTTTATCTGATCTTTTTGTTTTGTTATATAACATTGCATCCATCGATATTTTAAAGCTGTAACAACAGCAGAATCATTTGTGATACAGACGACAGACTTTTCTCCTTGGCACTTTTTTTCACGAGAAATAGCGGAAACAGTGTACGAAACAATAGTACATTCAAATAGTTAAAACTAGATTTTTCTTCTTAAAATGTGTAGTCCCCCTTCCTAAGTGTCTACTATTTGTATAAAAAATACATTTTTTACCTTATAAATACCTAATTCATTACCAAACTCAAAAATAAAACGGTCTATTTAGCGTGGCTATGCATAAGCGTACTCGCTTGTGCGACACCGCATTTCAAATTGACTGCCAGCAGCTGGTGTTGTCAGCGCTAGTTACCTAGCGTATACTTGTAGGTTCAATTGAAAAAGCGGAATAACATGGTTGATGACTTCATTTTCAAGAAAATTATTACTTTAATTCACTGTCTTGATGGATCTCGACAGTAAAATGGTTCATTTTACGGAATTATGAGTCTTTGTTAATCAAAAATGTGCTTATAGCTTTTTTTTCTATCAACATTTTGCAGATTCTATAAACAATCTCACGAATCAAGATTTGCCTCAGACTTATAGTTATTTGAAAAAAAAATTTTTCCGCCCTCGAGTGGTTTTGGGAGGCTGGTACTTCCTCGGGCAAAAAAGCAGTTTTCCGATACTCGTTCGAAAAGTCTCCTTGTGTTGTAATTCTTCGATTTTAAACGTTGAGCTAAATCCTGTTGTCATAATAAATTGTTATAATAAATAGTGTATTTTCTCAAAGCGTACTCCTCCAACAAAAGCAGGAAATAACAGTTTAACGATTCAATGTTTAATAATTAATCAAGTTACATACAATATCAATCATAACCTTCAATTAATATGTAAGAAAAAAAAAAAAACTGTTACTTACGTATTAATAACCTGTACAAATATAATCAAGTGCTCATAATTTATCGAATGAAAGTTTAATTTCGTAGTGTACGCTGTATCAATCCTAAACAAAATCGTTCAATCCAATCATCAGTGATTCGTGAACGATCATACCAAAACACTTTGTAATGAAGCTACTAAAAAACTTTTAAAATATTGGCATATATTTTTAAGACTATTGTGTACAAGCCGAACAATAAAGCACCGCGAGAGAGAGAGAGAGAGAGAGAGAGAGAGAGAGAGAGAGAGAGAGAGAGAGAGCAAGAGAGAGAGAGAGAGAGAGAGAGAGAGAGAGAGAGAGAGAGAGAGAGAGAGAGAGAGAGAGAGAGAGAGAGAGAGAGAGAGAGAGAGAGAGAGAGAGAGAGAGAGAGAGAGAGAGAGAGAGAGAGAGAGAGAGAGAGAGAGAGAGAGAGAGAGAGAGAGAGAGAGAGAGAGAGAGAGAGAGAGAGAGAGAGAGAGAGAGAGAGAGAGAGAGAGAGAGAGAGAGAGAGAGAGAGAGAGAGAGAGAGAGAGAGAGAGAGAGAGAGAGAGAGAGAGAGAGAGAGAGAGAGAGAGAGAGAGAGAGAGAGAGAGAGAGAGAGAGAGAGAGAGAGAGAGAGAGAGAGAGAGAGAGAGAGAGAGAGAGAGAGAGAGAGAGAGAGAGAGAGAGAGAGAGAGAGAGAGAGAGAGAGAGAGAGAGAGAGAGANAGACTTTATTTTATAAAAATGAAATCATACTCAATTTTACATAAGTGATGCAAAATACAAGTTACCGTTCTTCTTCATGACATCTCAATCAATAAACATAGTTTTATATATACAACACAATTTATAAATAGGGAAGTTCACTAATATCTACACTGCAGTCAAGATATTCTAGCATACCAGCTTTAAGTTTTTGTTCGTACTCAACTATTCTAGTCAATACACTATTCGAAACACCTCCGTTATTTTTTAACAGAGGTTGCAATATCTTAGAATTCATTTAATTTTAAGGTGTTGATATTTATTATATTTTTAAACAAGAAATTAACTGTGTTAAAATATTATAAGTGTATAAATTGTTCATTACAGATTATTAATTTTATATATGTTCAAAATAATTTATAAATGCATAAAATTGTAAAAATTCTCATCATTTATCTAGAAAAATAAGCTTTGTGTAAAAACATACTATCGTATTCATAATACGCTTTTAATTTACTATTTGACAACATTTTTCACTTCTAATACTAAGAACTATCAAATTTTCTTAGGATTCGAAAAAGAAGCTGTTGAGACCTATGTTTAAAAAATGCTCGGTAGCTCACATCACTCAAGAAATAACATCGCTTAAACCTGTCCGGGTTGCTAAAATAAAATTGTTATGTTTCTTATTGCATAATTACTTGTCTAGTTAAAAAAAGAACTCGATGACTAACACTACCTTTGTAACTTGTAATTTGGGACTTGAATTCTGCTATTAACCGACAACAAGCCGAACCAGCTGAGTAAAGGATATTACGCATACTTGTGTAAAAATGCGTACCAATTTTGATGATGCTTACATTCTACGACTATGTTTCCAAGTTATATAGTTTATTGGCACAATGCTTCTTTTTTTGTGAACTTAATATATTATAGATATCATTTTTTTCTTGCGATCATTAATATTTGGTAATTTTTAACAATTATTCCATGATATCATCCTACCTAATTTTTCAAATTTTATCTTAATAAAATTTTTTAGGCAAAATTTTATGACCTCTGAGAATTTCTAACGTAGGAATTCTTAAATATGATAAAAATAATAAAACATTAATCCTTCAAATCTGTTAAAAATCAAAATCCAGATCAGAAAGTGTTTATTAAATATAGAATTTTATTTGGAGATCGTCCTTATGGTTTAAAATCATATCCAAGTAAAAATTTGTTCACCAAATATCAAATAATAAAATAATATTACATATCACAAAAAAATTTATCAATCATTTCAAAACGATTTTCGTCGTGTCTCATATTAGAATGACACTAAAAACATAAATACCAAACACAAAATAATCTATTTCAATAGAACTATAAGTTTGTTATTAAACATTTGTTCAGAAAATACCACGAAAAAAAGTTGTGCTACAAAACAATATTTTGGATATTTTAAAACAATTTTGTTGTTTGAAGTGTTAGGAGAAAAATATTAACGAAAATGTTCAATACAAAAACAAAAGTTATTTTTATACTGATCTAAAACTTTTGTATTCAACATTTTATCCAAAAATGTAATGTAGAAAACTTCGATGCTATAAAACGAGTTTTTGTCCTTTTTGAAACGATTTTTACCATTTCAGTGTTCAGACTGCATTATGGGGAAACACTTACCAAACAATAAAGTTTTATTTTGATGTGCTCTACAACTATTGTATGTAAGACTTTGTTACAGAATTTCTATTTCTTTTATTCAATAAACGATTTCTTTCGCTGTTTTTACATGTATATTTTGTATCACAGAGTAAAAAAATTGTACAATAAGAAAGGTGTATTTTATTATGATCAAGAAATTTTTTTTCAAACAAAAACGTGTTAAAACGCAGAGCCAAAAAACCTATTTTTCCTCTCTACAATTTTGTAGTACGAATGATTGCAAAATTTTTCTCTCCAATGGAAACTCTCCGAATGCAATACATCAGCTCCAACGTTAAACTTGAAGTTACCTACACCATTTGAACTATTTCGATTATATTTATAATTACCTGATGCCATATGAATAACTCAGATTATCGTTATACGTGGTTTGAAATTTATTTTGTATATTAAAAAAAAAAAAAAAAAACGATTTAAAAGCGGAAAAATTTTTGCTTTGATACAAATATAACAAGCTAAAAATAAAATCAGTTGATGGAGTTAAAATTGTATTCTTAAGCGGTGATAGAAATCCAAGAACAAAAGAATAGGCCAAGATTTGTAAAAATTAATAGGGAAATACACGGACATGGACATGGGCATAGGCATACATTTTTCAAGGATTTTAAACGTTAAAAGACATATGTAAATCATGTTATCTCGGTATGCGACTTTTGTCAGTAACAAGTTTCTTGTATACATTCTTATTTGCCCTAGAAAATCTTGTTCTCTAAATTATGTGCAATGGACAATATTATCAAATTATTCAACACAAGAGATTACCAATGTATCGAAGATACTCACCCTGAGATATTGTCTAAAAATGCTTAACACGTTTTTTTTGTTATAAGGAGAGTTGCGTGAAAAATCTTTCGCAAAAAAATTTTTTTTTATGAAAAACATTTGATGCGAAATAAATTAAGGCGAGCTCAAACTTGTTCTATTACGTGTAGTCAGATTATTCGACTTTTATTGCAAGTAGTTATCGTTGTATCCATCGTTAAATTTTGACATTATTCTAGGACATTCCTTTGCAGAAGGACCGGTTAAACGCGTTTGCGTTTATTTTACTTGACTCATCTTTGTGCATAAAATTATTAATTTAGTGTATCTATTTCTACATTAAGAATATCACACAAGTAGGAGACGCTTGACTTGTATTTCATTTACTTCTTTTCATTTATTTTTTTCCAATCATCAAAAAAAAAATTTTTTTTTTTTCAAGTGTAGATCCTAATGAAGAGTACAGATTTAACCACTCAAACGAGGTCACGCGCAAATAGCTGTTCATTCGTTGATATAAAAACACGTACGTATGTCCACAAAGATGATTGTTTCTTCGATTTAGTTGCCCAACGTTACCTGAACGCAATGATCGACTAGAAGGAATGAGCAACTTTGTAATCTGCTTGTGCTTGACACTATTCGAAGTCGTTGCACGTAATTTTCTAGAAATTGTCACGAGCAATCAAATAATTTTTTCTTTTCATTAGGGAAAAAATGTTTTCACATATAATGCTTCAAGCAAAAGTCGTGGATTAGCAGGCAATTCAATGCACCGCTGCAGAGATAGATTTTATAATTTGATCGAAAAATATTTTACGCCATGTAATCATCTACGATTCCAAGACGTAAGCTAACATTATTCAAATAAATAAAATAATGTGTATCTATTACTAAAAACTTTTATACGACTTATTCCTTCTATTAAATATTGTGTTCTACTAGGTACCACCTGATTGAGTGACTATTTGTATGTTAATATATGCGTAAGAGATAAAGAAATGTTTTTCTACCACAAAGAGGAATAGAAGACACTTTCAGGTTTTCCAAAACTGTTTTGATTACAACTTTTTAAAATGCTGTGTTACATCGGGACAGTCATTAATACGAGTTCTCTTTAAAAAATGAGTCACCCAAATTATCGTTTAATTTGTTATAGTACTTGAAAGAACTTGTTTATTAAAAATTTCAAAAGGAAATACGAGGTACAATTTGTGATGAAAAATTGGGGTGAAAAAAAAATGACAATCACTCGTTTATTCTGTAAATCCAACATTTTTAATCACCAAAGAAATGCCAAAACATTGCAACGATACCAGCGCGCTATTAACTTTCAGACAACTATGCCCAGTAAATTTATGCATCCCGGTAGTGTGTGCGCGTACATATATAACCTGTACGAGAATACCAATACCACAGCTAATAATCACAAAGCTATACATTCAACTGGAAATAAAAAATGCAACTCCATGCCATCAGAGCCACACCAGAATCGGCAATGATGACAAACATCGCAGGCGCTTGCCCGCCCACAAGGCCGGTACTCCCCCTCACAACAACTGCTCAATGGCCTCCTCGAGCCCGGCCGGCGAACCCGTCGGTCCGAACTTGGCCACGATCTTTCCATTTTTGTCGAAGAGGACCTTGGAGCCAGCCTGGACCTTGTCCTCCAAGCACATCTTGATCCATTTGTACAAAGGATGGGCGGCGTCACCGTCGGTGGCAATTTTGTCGTAGACGTCGTACGTCAGGCCGGTGCTCTGCACGTACTCCTTGATGTCCTCGGCGGTGCCTGAAGGCTTGACGAGGCCGTCAACAACGAAGCTGGCGACCTCGAGGCCCTTCGAGCCATGGCGCTCCTTGAGCTGCTGCAGCAGCTTGAAGCCCTTCGCGGACACGGGACAGGAGCGGGTGGCCCCGTTAAGGAGCACGAGCACGTGGCCCCGGTACTTTTCGAGGTTAATCAGGTTGCCGGAGAGGTCCCGAGCCTGGAAGTCGTGGAGCGATTTGGCGCTCGGCCAGTCGATCTCTTGGTCGAAGGCAAGGGTTGCGTGGCTGAGGTGCAGCAGCGTCCCGAGGAGCAAGACGACACAAACAATTGGCCCTGCAATGCGAGGAACGCGGAATAATCACAGCAAGGTATATAAGTATACAACATCACGGTTGCGCGTTTGACGGCACGGACTGCGAGATAGAGCACGAAGGTATTGCAATGCGCGGTTAATGAGCGCGTGTGTGTCTGTGTGATGAGCCTTGGATTGCGAAACAAAGCCGACGGTCGACGGTTATTATACTCTCTTGGGCACTGGTATTTTGAAAAGTTTTTTTGTCTCGGCACGTCCAATAAGTGGAGGATGCGACGAGTTTGGTCGCGTATCGTATTACGTATATGACGTGTACAGATTGTGCGGGCGATCTATGGACGCGAGCTGCGTTCCAGAGGCTGTTTTTTTTTTGTCTCTGGAATTTTTTCGACTGGTTTTTCGAGGAAAATTCCACGTGAAAGAGAGTCTTTGTCGGGATTTTTTTTGACTTGCGATGCACTAGATGCATCAAAAATTAATTTTATTTTTTTCTTAAAACTTAAGATGGGTTCTGTAAATACGTAATAAAAAGTGGAGATTTATTTTCAACTCTTCGATATTGCCGCTTAAAAAGCTTCATTTAAGGTAGCTCCCTTGTCTACTGCTCTAGTCAAGTAGGAAAATTTTACTCTTGTATATACATATATACGTACAGCAATGTCGGT